CCTTTCAGTTCACACTTTAAAGTTTATTTTTCCTCCATCATTTTTACTTTCTTATGAAAATCTTGGAAGTAAATAAATGATATGTGATATACGATTGAATAAGTTCTCAACTTACGTTGATTTTAGTTTTACACCTTTTTCTGACAAGCTTTGGGGATGCCTAGCATCCAGATTTCTCTAAATTCCTTCTGGTGAGATTGTCTAAATTCTATACACTCTGAAATATCACAGAGACTCTAGAGTATGCCAGATGTTTAATATCAAAGTTGCTCTGTTGCCCAAGGCACTCCTGATTCTTCTGTGTCCATGAATTTATTTCCACCAAGCCTACATTTATTTATCTCCATTCTCATTAGCTATTCACCCATCTCTTTTCTTCATCAAACTGCATTTATACCTTTGCTCAGTTTTCCTTACAGCACTTTTTTCAGTCAAAGGGCAAACCGTGATAGTAAGTTGTTTGGCCAAAATAGCCATTTCTGATTTATGTTCAATTAAATGCCAGCCCACACGCTCTTATTTTTAATTTTTTTTTAAATTTGAAATCTTTGCTGTCAATATGATTGAGCCATCGCTGCCCCCACACAAACACCTCATAGACCTCTGTGTTCTTTTTTGTTGTCTCCTTCCTAGTCACTCGGCTGTGTGCTGTCTGCGAGATTAAAGTCAGTTCTTATGCAACGTCGTCATTATGGTAGCGACCACCAATGTCTGCCTAAGACTGGTTTCCCAACAATTTCTCTATCTCTAAGGAAAAAGAAAGGTCCCTCCTAGTGAACTGGAGGACGGCTGGAGTGGGATTCCCTGCGTCTTTATCTCCACTTCTACAGCGGCTGCTCATCTGTGGGCTGCTCTCTCTGTGTGTTTCCCTGTGGCTTAAGGCATATCACAGAGCGTGTGTCTTTTGTGATGCCTCAAACAGCTCGAAGCTCGGAGCTAACATTTAAGATCAGCTTCTGGAACTTTTCTTATCAATACCTGAGACTATAAAAAGGCAAAAGTCTATACACATGCAGTACAAATGCCTACCACACAATACTGAGTTTTTGAAGGAATACCAGTATATGTGAGATGAAAAAGATAGTCAAATTACCCTTTTGTGTGAGAGAAGGAAGAACAAATTCATCCTTCAACACGTTTTTCAAGTAATTTTCTTGATTCTGGAAAGGAATTTTAATCTCTAAATTAGAAATGCATTTGGACAAGTTAATAATTAAGTTGAAAAGGAAGCAGAAGAAACCCAGAAAGCAGTCAAAATAAACAAATACCAATAGACTTAACCCCAAAATCTTTCAATATTTTTAAATAACTGATTTCTAAACACAACATATTTTAAGAAAAAGGAGCATGGATGAGATGGAGCAAATAAAGACAACTTTAAATTATATAAATTGAATCGAGAAGCTCTACACAATGCAAACGTGTTATGATTGCATCCACTTCTGCTCACAGCTATTTATCTGAAATATAATCAGCATTTTCATACCAGACAAGTGCAAACCGAAAGCACATTCCAAGAACAGATTCTGCTGCCCATGTGTCTACGGTGAGATCAGAAAGACTCATTTTCCTATGGATATATTGAGTTTAAGACATAGATATGAAAGAAAAATAAAACCTACTAAAATAGGAAAAGAAATGTAAGTGTATCATGTAGGTACAAGAAGCATAGATTCATGAAATTGTCTGTATGACGTTTGTAACATAAATTTTAAATTCATGGCAAATTGATGTCAAAAGTTTCAAATCCACTAAGCCACACAACCATAATTTCTATATTCACTCTAAAAAAAAATCTACAATTGTATTAACGTACCCTGACCCACTCTGAAATGTCCCACATCTCTTGAAAGTGATGTCAATGTGGGTGTTGACAATATTTACAGTGATCAGGAATGCTTCTCTTACAAAGTGACATTTGATCATGCAACAAAACCTTTCTGAGAGTGTGAATCCTAGGATGCTGGGGAAATGAAGGCCTTGTAGACTCTTCTGCCAACACCATGCCTCTGATGATGGGTTGACTGAACAAGTTCAAGACCTGATCTGGACCTGTTACATAATAGTTGGTGGGGGAGTCAATCAACTTTACTGTCTTTCCTCAAATTGGCCAATCCTAATTTAGGCAAGCAACACCCATCAGAGACTTTCCATGCTGCAGACTCCCCTCCCCGAGGAGACTGGTTTTGGGGATTGCTGAGTATCCTCTCTGTTTTGCATAGTGTCATTCTCTGTGTGTACCTTCAGCAGGCCTGCTTTTCCTCTTCGCAATAAACATCTTCAACTGCCGACTGCCAAGGTCTGTTTGGATTCTTTGGGATTTCTCCACTGCTACCTAAAGCACTAGCAAATTTTCCTATCTTTTAGTTCTTGAACTGGCAGAAAAAAAAAAAAAAGAAAAGAAAAACACGCATGCAAAACTCCTAGACTGTATCACTGAGATCATAGGATCATAACCCCAGAGAAATCTTGTTTCTTCACTTGTCCCAGCACTATGATACAGAGAAGGCAAAGCACACTGTGCCCTTACCTAACGGAGTAAAGACGCAGAGAGCTACTTTTAATTTAAGAATTATTCTATTTCAACATCTTAATTCCTTGCTAAAATCATCAAGAAATCTATGGAGGTGATTTGACAATATCCATTTTATACTGGATTATTATCAAGTATTATCAAATATGTTATCAAATATAACAATTATTCTTGTTGGTGTTACTATGTAGGGAAAGAATATGTAAAGACCGGTACAGTGTCAAAATATGTTCTGACACAGAGGAAGAAAGTCAACACTTTGAGAATAAAACAGCGCTGTGCTCTAAATAAGAAAATGCTACCCACAAATGAGACAAGAAAATGGCAATCACAGTGAGTCGAATACCAGCAATGATTTGGCTTACTAAAGAAATAATCTAATGCTATGACAACAAAATTTCACTTATATAATTTTTGTTGCTTCATATTTAGTATATTATACACATGGAATGTACTTTTATTGAAAATACTAAAAGGATACTAACTACATAGTAACCAGAAAAAATAATCACCTTTTTCTGTTTGCTTTCCTTATTTTAAAATGGTATTTGATTTTTGAAATTATTGAAAGTTTTTTAGTTAAATTAATCTAAATAACTTATTATTCTGTTTGGAATTACAGCTTTTATATTGTAAAATTTTCTTACTCATGTATATTTCTAGATTCCCTAAAGCTATTTAAATATTTTTATTAATATCTGTGTATAAATTCTAAAATCAGCTATCACATTGATGGTTGGCACATTTAAGTACATAATTTATTTTTTCCTACTAGCTTTCCATTATAAACCACAAGTCTTTGAACTTGTGATTAGGTTCCATAGCCTGAGGGTTTTGAATGCTTTTCCAGAAGGCTTTCAATTTCTTTAATGCCTTCCTCTTCCAGTAGATTCAGTTAAAGTTTTTGTAATAGGAAACATACATTCAAGGTGCCTTGATTCCACATTTTAATGACTTTTTAAAAATTTTGTCACTCTTAACTAAAGGTATTCACAATAAACATATTTAAAAATATTCATGTTTGGTAATATTTTGCTTCTTTTGTTCAGCTTCAAAGGTTAAATCATTTCACAGATTTCTCAATTAAGAACATCTGTATAGAACAGTGCGATATCAGAAGGGTTTCTGAAAATAAATGACTCCAAGTCTTTTTACAGTAGTGTTTATTACACAGGCTAGGAGAGAAATCATCAATATGCTTGCTCTATGAGAAAAACTATTAAATTTGTTATTATTAAATTATAACTATTGCATTAAAATACAATCAGTTTACTGCATTTTTATTCTTAACCATGATTGATTTGAGGGTATCCTTTTACATTTGTAGTAGGAAAATGATGTCAGGAGCTGACTAATTATTTTTAAAGATCTTGGTTATTCCTCATAATGCATATTTTTAACTTGCATATTTTCTTAAAATGCTCCAATGAATGCATACTTGTATACACACACACACACACACACACACACACACACACGGCGCAGTAGCCTTAGGGACAGCACTGAGCCATGTTCCTCCTCCTCCCATCATCTAGGTTGAGGAAGGATATTTGGTTTGGTCTACTGCACTGCTCCGCATCACACAATTATTCCCCCTGCTCTCAAGTCTCTGATTTCCGTTTCCCACCTACTTATTAGTATTGTTCCAGGTTCTTCCTTTTTCTTGCTTCCTTCTTTCCTGCCCCCTCAGCCCAAACAGCCCCTGAAATCTTCAATGGTGTACTTTACTTGCTTTTCTAAAGCATTAGCGCCTTCAGAACTTTGGCATGTCTTATCGCTCCCCAGAACCCACGGGCTCTGCTTTCCTCCGCAATCCTTCAAGCTCACCTATCCCGATAGAAGCACAGATCCAACCTTTTCCTGCTTTTTCCATTTTGCTTTTTCCATAACAAACTTTTTTTTTTGAAGGTGCAGTTATAAAACCCCAATGCAAATTCAGTGAACCAGCGCAGAGAGAAAGCATTGCATGAGAGGAGAAATTCTGTGAAACTATGGCAACGTTGAAGTGCGGTATGGTCAGTGCTTAGCTGATTGCATTTTCATTTGTAATGTGGAAGCATTGCCAAGAAATTGAATCCTGCTGGCTCTGATGGCAGATGTTCCCTAGAATTTTAAACTGCCTTAGAACTCTCCAGAACGACCCGTGATGATTGGGATGCGAAGTCTGATACTGTGCGTAATTGCCTGCAGTTTAACAATGGATGAAACCCCATTAAAAAGCGATGCTTAAACTATCATTTTCTAAAGGCATTATAATTATAATCATAAGGAAAATGTATCTGCAATTATTTTATTTTTAATGGCTTCAGATTGTGTATGCTGAAATTTCAAAGTTTAAGCCATTAGCGATCTTCACATGTTACAAGAAATATTTTTCTATTGATTTGTTTATTCATCAAGCAAATATTTACCAAATGCCTCTTATGTACTTCATCATCACTGAAAAAATGTATCATTTGTAACTTACCATGGGCCATGCGGTGGAACCAGTAGTAGCCAAAGTCAACTCCTAGAAAGGTTAAATACCATGTCCACTGAGAATCCCAAGGCAAATCGAAAAGTCTGTAGTTCTCCCAGACATAAATATAGCTGGTCACTTCAAGGCTTTTGAAGAACAGACTGGAAAATAAAATCCACAGCGATGGCTATAACATATTCTGTATCCATGATCATGCTAATACAGTCTAGACGATGTTTAGTATGAATATATGCACATGTAAAAATGGTGTCTGTCACCAACCCGCTGTGCCTCTTCTTGCTTTGTCTGGATTCCCTCCCCAGCATCAGCACTCTCCCTTGGCATTTTTGTTAGGGTCCTAGGCATGTGGACCCAGTTATTTGCACTCTTGCATTTCAAGAAAATTGGGAGACTCTTTTTTTGTCTCTTAAAACGCTTCTTATGGAACATTTCATACACAATAAATCTTACTAAACTGCACGGTACTTCCTGCTATTGTCATTGGTAACATTTAATGAGGAACACAGCAAGGGTGGCTGACAGCAGGAGACCGAAAATTTGAAAACTATACACGGAATGACTTCTAAGAAGCCTGAAAGACGCTTGCTGTCATTAAATATGACCATCCGTAAAATCTGCATTAGTCTAGAATGACTCCTGCTCTTTTTTCTGTCTTCTTTCTTACCTCTCTTGCACAAATCCAACTGTTACTTGGTATTTACAGTTTACCCATTTTTGGTAAGTCAAAGGGGGAGGGGCTTTCAGAATATTAGGAAATCATTTTCTACTAGAAATGAGGTATATAAATCTATTCAAAGTAATCAAGCTAAATAGAATAGAAACAGATAGAGAGATGGTTCAGCAGTTCAGAACATTTGCTGCTCTTACAAAGGACCTAAATTCAGTTCATAGCTCTGATAACAGTTGGCTTACAACCTTCTGTAATATTCCAGCTTGAAGGAACCTGAAACCCTCTTCTGGCCTCTGGAGGGACCATGCACACATTTATGTTATAAGCTTACAAGCACACACGTATACATGTAAATAAAAATGCAAATAAAATAAAAGATTTTTAAAGTCTAGAAACTAAAATCTGTATTTCTGCCTATTTTATCAAGTTCCTGTAAAGTTTTGTTTCAAACCTTTCAAAACTCTATTTAATTTAATATAATATATTTAACTTTTAATTATCTCTGATAAAACTAAAGATCACATTCTAGAAAAATTATTTAACACATTTATAAATTTGACTATATTTACTTTTTATTCTATATTTGCTATTAAAATATGAAAAGAGTTGATCATTCCAAATAACAAATATGTAATTATGAGGAAACAGCAAGTCTCACAAAGTTATGAGAAATATTTAAATATTGTGATTCGAGGTAAAATTTAAAAAAGCATGAAAGATTATTTTATTATCAAAATTTCCCATTCAACAGTATTTTTTTGAAAGGTAGCTTCTGTGAATTAAATATTATGGTCGTATTTTTAGATCCTAAATTAATACATAGTAAAATACTGGGCTAACTCAATGCAGCATTATTATTCACAGCTCATAAAATCCTTTGGTTGTCACTTTGTATAGGACAACAGTCAGCACATCTTAAGAATCAATTTCCAATTTGACATGACATGGCTGGAAGCTTTGCTCCTGAGATGGAGACTTTAATCCTAAAGCATTCACGTCTTTGATTCTCATACTAGTACCAACCTGCGGTGTGTTCTAGATTAATTAGAATCTCCAGCCTAGGTGCCTGGCAGGCCTTTCCTAGATCCTTTTCTTAGGGCAATGCTCCTGAGGCCAGGCCTTTGCAGATCTCCTAGGACTGCCCAAATGCCCAAGAGTGACTGACTTGGGACAAGTAGAAAACTACTGCTCTCTCTCAGTCTGGGATATCTAAAGATATCCATATGCAGCTCCCCATTGGGTAAGACAGGCCATGGGCCATGGTTCATGGATTCCTACAGCATTTCAGAGGCATGAAGAATTGGAAGTATACAACCTATTTTCTAAACGTTACCGAGCATATTTACCAAGAGAGGGTTTAAAACAGGTTTTAATTTAAAGGTGCTCAGCTTAGACAGTAGCTTACATGTTTAGTCATCTCAACAGTGACACTCCTTTTTGTTTGTTTGTTTGTTTGATTTTAGAGACAGGGTTCTCTGTGTAGCTTTGGAGCCTGTCCTGGAACTCACTCTGTAGACCAGGCTGGCCTCAGACTCACAGTGATCCACCTGTCTCTGCCTCCAGGGTACTGGGATTAAAGGCGTGTGCCACCACTGCCCAACTAATAGTGCCACTCTTGAAATGTAGGCAGGGGTAATCTTTTCGTTGGAGGCTGTTCAGAACAAACCTTAAATCAAGATATAAGACTTTTAAAATCTGTCTCTAATTTCTGATAATAGGGTATCAGTTAATAGTGTTCCCTTTTAGGTTAAAGTGTTGAACAAAGTCAGGATTTTTTATGGTCTAAATTATTAACTTCTCTAACTGTGAGATTTTAACCATGACACTGCTGCTACTTTGGTCCAGATGACTCTTTGTTAGGAAAGATGTCCAAGTTCCAATTAAACTGTAGAAAACACCCTGCTGTCCCTTCAGATTCATCAGTACCACCACTCCCTCCTCTGTAACAACCAAATATGTGTCCAGGCATTGCCAAACGTTTCCTGATGAGCGAATGATTGTGTCCCAAGTTGCTAACCACTGCCTTAAAGCAACCAGAGATAAACATTAAAGCACACAGAATTCAACAGACATTTATCATATTCTCATGATTGTTAGACAAGCTTTGTTACAAGGTATCAAATTGGATTTAACTACATATTTATCAGTCATTCGTTAACTCCATACTGGGAGCTCTGTCAGTCTCTGGCGCAGCCCAGGGCCCAAGGGCGTATTGTTGAACATAGACTATTATAACCTGGCTCACAAGGGTTTCAATTAGTTTGGTATGTTCCTAAAGTTTATGCTAGCTTCTTTGTCATGGACAAATGAAACAAGATTCAGACACTGTCTGGACGTCAAGCAATGCAGAGCTGTAAAACTTTGATTTCTAAAACTGAGAGAGCCGGCTGCCTGACTTCAAGTGCTTCTCATTTCCAGCATGGGTGTTGGGTACTGAACAGATGTCTTGTCTATTCGTCTGCCTCATGGATTATTAGGGTTGACACAAATCGAGCTAAAATCTGCTTTGTACACTGTGTCAGACCGTTCCCCTTTTCTCACTTTAGGAAGAGGCCAAACTCTCTTCAAGGTAAACAAACAGAGTGGTATGCAGTGGTATTCCCTGCCTTCTCTCAGCCAGAGGAACATGACCTTGCTCCGGTAAACATGTGAAAGAACTCAGTGCCCACAACTAAAATGATTTGCTCAGGCGATACAGCTGGGAAAAGATTATCAAATTCTGGAAAACCCTTGATGGCAGGAAATAGCACCTACGTTTGCAAAGCGGTTCCCACCAGATCCGGAATCATAAACCAGAGCTCCTTCCTTTTTCTGTTCCCAGTTCCTCCACCCCCATCCCCAAAGCCCTGGAGTATGACTCTGCATTCTGGAATTTTAACTTGAACTCTATAAATCCCTTTCAGTGGGAAGAGACATCTATAACTTAGAGGCATAGATGTAGGGGCCTCACTTGATCAGGTGGAGATGGAATGGTAAAAAATCCAGGGTCTTACTTGGAATGTGGATGTAAGTTCAAGGAAATGACCTAAGCCTGAGGCCTGCTGTGCAGAGGTCTGCACAACGGCTTTTGTTTACTGCTCAAGACTTTTTTGTGCACTCCCTTCAAACGGTGACATTTTAAGGTTAGGAACACATGACAAAATTTGGGTCAGGCTGTAAAGAGTGAAGTAATTTACACAGTTTGTCCTCAACTTCTAAAGTACAGTGCGGCACAGCACATGCACACACATGTGCATGTGCACACACGCACACACACACTTGCACGCACCCACACATACACACATTCACACACACACACACACACACACACGCTCATACTTAACATATATCTGAGTGTGAGGTTTAGATTTTTTTCTGAGAAATTAATTTTTTCAGAGAATTTGACTCTAAGTTTATTTCAAAACCTCTCCTAACTGACCTCAGCACGTGACTGTCTGCCGGAGAGCTCCTGCCACTTTTGCTCCATCTAGTGGAACACTGACTTTTCAATATCTCAGGAAGAAGATAAAGGTCTGCTTTCTAAACCAGTCATAGCGTTTCCTACCACTTCACACTGCAAAACTGCACAACATTTACAAAACCATCACCTCACTTCTCTAAAGCACCCTTTAAACCATAAACGTATTTGCTACATTCTTTACGGAATGCTGCTGTATTAAGGTGTGAGTCCTGCCTGGGAACCCTTGGAGCTGTGTTCACTGAAGAAGGTAATGTCATTGAAGTCACAGATTTTTCTTTATTTCCTAACCCCACCCTACGGACTTGAAAATATTTTTAAAAAGTTTAATTTCCTCCTCTTAATTTTTTTATGAAGTGAGCTGTTTTTTTTTATTTCCATCAGAAATGGAAAATTCCGTTGCAAGCATAGCTTCCATGTACCTATGGCTGAATATCACAGAACTGGCACCATAGTCAAAGCTGGCTATGCCCCCTAAGTAATAATAGTGGGGTGACCTGAACTTATTTGAAAATTTACCTATTTAAATTATCTCTTGAACCTACTGCAATTTGATTTATCATCTGCCGTTTCAACAGAATAAATGAACCCCTTCAGAACGAACATACTATGGATATTTCTATCACCAGTGAAACCTCTCTTGGGAGAGTGCAGTTTATGGAAACAGTAACTTGGGTAGGAAGGAAAAAAATCGAGGTCCTGGACTTTTACTGAGGGAGTGGAATTCGAGTTCTGCTTAAGCGAGCAAGGGAGATGTGATTATTTTTCACTCATTAATGTATAAGTCAGTAGTACAGTGTACTGAAAATTATGCTTTGAAAAAATAGACATGGCACACATTTCATTCAGTCAAGTTTAATTTTATAGTTACATACTCAAATAATTGACAGAAAAAATAACTTATCTCTAAGCTGCATCTTGTTAGTGACTGTGGATTCAGTCAGCAAAGTATTACTTTTAAAGAGACTTAAAATTGCATGTAATTATATTACCAGGATCGTCAAATAAAATTGTTTTTCCTCCAAGTCTCCAGACACCGTTTCTATTGCAAGAATGCAGAACTGGAAAGCGGCTCACTACTTTCTCTGTTTTGTTAGGCGCCATCTAGAAGTATTATCTGAAGCGCTGGTTTCTGCTGGCAGATTAACTAATGGTATAGCATCCTCTTCCTTGCAATTACGTCCTTTAAGGATGTGGCAAATCCCTGTTGCTAGTACTGGAATTGAACTGGATTCCTTGGAGAACCAAAGACCCACCATGTAAATCTAACCCTCAGCTGTTAATGATTTGCACGGGGAGTCGTTTGAAAGCTACCGCATCAAGTGAGACACAGGTTGAACTTGATATCAAGTTGTTTTTCAAAAATTTTTCCCTCCCTCTCTTCTTTTTTTCTTTCTTTCCTTTTTTCTTTTTTCTTTCTCTTTCTTTCTTTTTGTCTGTCTTTCTTCCTTCTTTTTTCTTCTTTTCTCTGAGGATACAGAGTTGAGCGAATCTAGAGAAACAACTCTCCTTTTTCTTTATACTTTCATTTAAAAATAATAGTGAAATAAAAGAAAATACATTTAAGTGTAACTTTCAGGTTGTTTTCTTTGATGGGTTGTTTCACATTATCCTCATTGAAAACTGAGAAACATTTTAAAAATGTTCCTGGAAAACTCGCATTATTTTATAATTTAGTATTTTTTAACCCGTAAAAAAAAAAGAAACAAAGACCAGTAATTTTTGCTCTAATTAAAAATAGAATTATTACATACAAATTCAATTTAAATTAAAAATATAGCAGCAGAAGAACACTGTAAAAGTCCAAGTTAGTAATGATATACCATTTGTCAAAGAGAACCAGATTTAAAAGGCTTTGGAAGACTCTTTTTAGCTTAAGGAATCTTAAAAATAGTGGGTGAGGGAACAGAACTTCACTTTGTATTCCTAAAGAACTTTGTTTTGACATTTTGACTATCTGATTCTATGTAAGTTTCTTCTCTCTCTCTCTCTCTCTCTCTCTCTCTCTCTCTCTCTCTCCTCTTCCCTTATAGTAACTCTTTTCACCACTCACCTCCATTTACATTCCATTCCCAAATCAGTGTGTGTGTGTGTGTGTGTGTATGTGTGTGTGTATGTGTGTGTATGTATGTGTGTATGTGTGTGTGTGTATGTGTGTGTATGTGTGTGTGTGTGTATGTGCGTGTGTGTGTGCGCGTGCGTGCGTGTGTGTGTGTGTGTGTGTGTGTGTGTGTGTGTGTGTATGCACATGTGAATGTGGGTCTCTGCTTTTTGAGACAGGATTTTATAAAAGGTTATACTGGGAATCTTAGAAACTTGGTAACATCATGAGTCATATTGCTAGAAGTACTGTCCTGGGAATAAAGTGTGTGTTTCCGGGAGCTCAGTGTTAGAAGGGGAAAGTGCTTCTTTACGTGAAACCAAAATCAAACTTTGAAAAAGGAAACAAAAAAAAGCCAAAAGATTAATTCAATGCAATGTTCCTCGAAATTCTTTAATAGCAAAACAAAAGAACCAGTAGAGAAGTGCTCCTTTCCCAAGCCGTAAGATCCAGGACCTGTGTTTGCACCTGCACACACTGTCCTTTTCAGTTATTAGATGATTTTCACAGTCAAAAGATCAACTGATTTCCAAGAACTCTTAGTGCATTATATTCTCAGAATGAGCTATGGAAAACAACTGAATTATCCTCAGTAAAGAAATCTCTGTATAGATCTATATATGTGAGAGTACACGTATGGAAGGGACTCGTGCTCATTTCAGATACATGAAACCACACACTAAAGAAATTCATCAATAATTTGAATCGTTATTTAGGCAATCTGAGGCTTCCTCGGGGGAATATGTTCCATTATTTCTGACATCACTGTGTTACCACATCTGTAGTTACTCAACTCATTATTTTATGACTGTAAACCTGAGATCCAGTTTACTCAGAGTAACATGTTGATGTGTATTTTTAATGTTTACCTTATACCTAAACCTATTATGAAATCATATCAAGTTATTGTACCTTTTCTCAGATGTACATCAGGTTTAATGTCATTTTTTTTTTAAAAAAAATCACCTTGATTTCCCACTGTGTGGTTCCAAGAAACATTCCAAAGCAATGAGCTCTGATCAGAAGGGAAGCTCCACAAACATTAGTTGAAGCAGGAGTGGTAGACTGTACTAAGCACCCTCTTCCCCAGTTCAATGTTAACCTTCTTAGGGAACTTTTCTCGTGGTCCCTGCATCTTCAGTTAGTCCTCATACACAGAAGGTATCTTCTGTCCATCTGCTTGCTTTTCCTCCTATACCTCATAATTCACTATATAATGTAGGTCATTTATTGATTGTTTGACACCTTACTTGTCCAGTTTTATCCTTGGCATGACACTCAAAAGAATATTATTTTAGAACACTTGATATGTGCCAGACATCATTCCAGGAATATGGACTAAAACTCTGATATGAGATAAACTCTTGATTTCAAAGCGCATAAAGGCTGAGGAGTGCAAACACAAAGAGAAGACCCTCCAACCCTGGATTACTGTGTCTGCAGTGACCACAAGAGACAACGCATGGAGCAGAAGTGCCCAAAATAGGGTAAGGAAACGTTAGTTTTGCTGAAGTTACATGCATGCTTAGACCTATGAAAGAACCTGGAGGCAGCCAAATGGGTGTCTTTCCAGTCCTACAAAGTGCATCAGGGATGTGTCACGAAAAGATAAAGATGACAGAGAGACAAATAATAGAAATAAAAACAAAACAAAGAACAAACAAACAAACAAATCTTGTGAGTTTCAGGAATGAAACTTGACTTCATGTTCAGGGAAATATGGAAGTGGGAAATAGCTTCCTCCTGGTCTCTATGATTCAAACATTTGGCTACCATTGGGACAGACTTGAGACAAAACTAAGAGAGATTTGTAATTATTCACATAATTACATAACATTTATTGGAGAAATATCTGAGGACTAGTATGGGGACACCTAGATGTGAGCCTGTTATACCTCGACAAAGATCAGAGAAATTGAATCAGAAATTTATTTTTGCTCTTTCAAAGTTGTTGACAACAGGTGTGTTTACACAACCTAACCTAGGGTGTGGTTACTTCGTGTTTTGGACATTAAGGTGGTCCACAGAGGTGGGTCCACTGCACCCTGACGATGGGTCAGAGAATTCAAGAACAGAAGGTTTGACATAGGGAGTGACTGTCTACAGGACAGTTGGTCTAAGGTGTATTAGCTGCATACCCTAACCAAAACATCAAAATGCCTTAGTTAGGAAATAATGGCTTGATGTCTCAAGTATTGAGGCAGGTAACTGTTCTCGTTGTCCTTTGTGTCATGTTAAAACAATCTTTTACCTTCTTCCCCCTCTCTTTGCATTGGGGTATAAAAGTGTATAAAAATTAAAGTGGGCAAATTCAGTATTCACCATCCATCGGCTTTCCCACCTTGTACTAGCCTGTGTCTGTTTTCTTTCATGTCTCTCTTCTTCCTATCTAACATTTCTAATCCTCACACTCTTACCCTGGAACGTACAAACCTGTCATAGGTGGACAGCAACAGAAGTCACCTCAAAATGTGGCTTATGACAGGACAGAAGAGAGAGAGATGTGTGGAAAATACGGCTGGAACAAAACGTAATTTCTAGCAGGTGAAGGAGTCGCTTTGGGTACAAACTGTAAGAAGGTATCAGGGAAACTGAGTAATTAAGACTAGCAATGTTTAGCATTCTCTATTAAAATTAAATGTGAAATGTCAGTGCTACAAAAAAATTTGAAAATTAGAAAATTTCCAAGAATGACAGATCCTGAATTCTTTAAGTATTTATAGAGAAATGTGCAGTATCCACATGATGTCCCCTCTGTTCTACACTTGCAGAATGGAGGATTGTTGTTCTAAACCGTGACTCACCTTGGAAGCCGAGAGACAACACCAGCTGACATGGATGTCAGAATATCATCCAGGCGACCTGGTGGCTTCCCCTTGAGAAACCAGCTGAGGATTAGTTCGAGTAGAATCAAGGAGATGAAAAATGGAGTTGCCTAGAATGGAGATTTAAGGGAAGAGATGCTATTCTGTTTGCTTTGAAATCTTCCACATTTTTTGATCAGTCCTCTAATATTTTGTAAGGAAGAGGTACTCTGGCAGGAGATGATCTACATTTGGACTACAGGATTATTTCCAAACGAATGAAAAGGGAAATTTAGTTATTTTAGATCTACACTAAAGATATGTTAAAATACATATCATGCAATTTGCAAATGAAATAAAAACATAAATATAAATATCACTATTATGCCAGGAGAATGATTAAAATCAGGAAAGAAATGCTCCGAGTTAAAGGAATTACATTTAAAATTAAATAAACCTGGAAGAGCCTATTTTCTGCCCTTGAGCAAGTCAGACTCACTCTAAGAGAACTCCTTAAAAATACCCTCAATTAGAGATTTTAAAAATTAGGCTTTCTAGAACTACTTGTGAAGGTAACATTAAAGTAATAGGGAAAAAAAGACTCTTGGCAAATAAGCTAATCTCCTGTGGTTGTATCACCAACAAAATTTTAGCCATTCAAAACCAGCCTACAATTCACAATCCCAGAAAACCTAGACAATAATCAGTACCCTAAAAGAGACATACATGGATCTAATCTACATGGGAAGTAGAAAATGATACAATTTCCTGAGTAAATTAGGAGCATAGGGACCATGGGAGATGATAGAAAGGGAGAGAGAGGATGGGAAGGAAGCAGAAGAAAATGTATACCTCAATAAAATCAATAAAAGAAAGTTTTAATCATTCAGCTTTGATTCTGTGCTTTATAATGATGAGTATTCAACTACTGATCAATGTATATTGGACTATATATAATTTGCACAGTAATAATTGTTGAAGACAGGAGTGGCACATTTTTCTTCACTGGATAAAAATGGCAATATCAAATCTCAAAAGCAATATGGACTTCAGTCCTTTGGAACCAGATAATGAGTCTGAAGTTTGAACTCCCAAGAGCACGCACTGTGATGTCATGTTTTCCCTGTTTCTGAACTAGGCGGTGTTGTGGAAACAACTTTCACAGGGCTGGGAACATCAGTGCTCAGACTCTAATTCTGAGTATTTCCACTTCCAATATTAGCCCAGCAACAGAAGTGAAAAATGCCTCAAAGGCTTGAGATGTTAAAAAAAAAAAATACTCCAAGTTCAAACTTAGGAAGTTAGAATTATACTGAGCCAGGCTGTGTATCCTTCATTCTGCAGAACTACTCTACCATTTACTGAGGATATACCTTGCTGGAGGCAGTGGATAAGTTAAACATTTTAAAACAAAACTGTTACAATGCTTACAGATGTAGTATAACTATTTAATACTGCTTTCCAATAGTTTCCATGCCCAGGAAAACTTTGATTTTTTTTTTCATATTCTATAGTGATGCACAAGGGATTTACAGACAGAGATGTAGTTATTGGAGACAAATTGAATTCTCTAGAAAATTGAACTTTTGTTTCATGACTATAAGAAATTGAAATTTTATGATACTGTAATAATTTGAAGTAGGAAATTGAATGAATCTCCAGGATCTGTTGAGTTTATGTTGAAAAAAAAAAAAAGCAAGAGAAGCTCTTTCAAGACAGCCTCACCTTTTTAACGTAATCAGGCACCTCTTCGACAGTTTGGAAGGTGGTTTCACTGGGTTTCATCATGTAAAACATCATTCGAACACCCTGGGAAACTGAAACATTGTCTTGGTCTCCTGGGCTCCTCATTTCTGTCCGTCTGATTCCTAGCTGAAGATATTTGCGGTCGAAACCCAAGACTGAACAAAGAATAGGAGCTGGGCAGCACAGAGCGAGCCTTGTCAGAGCAAAGCAAGGCACAGAGCTGCACAGGGACGTCAGCCAGCAGCAGTTTATGTGCACAGACACTGAACGCGACAAGAGTAAGTTCAGAGTTCAGTGGCTGACTCACAGGAAGCAGAATGTCCTGAGAGAAGGAAAACCCAGGAAAACAAGCACACAGTGCAGTTTGCCTACAGCCTGTAAGTAACCTGTCAACAACCAGAAAAGAAAAACAAATAAATAAAACTCATCCAGTTGTATCTGGGAAATGAAAGGGAAAGCAGATGAACCAGCTTTATATACACAGAGAAAAGGGCACTCTGATAGGGTGGAGTCCAAAAGTCAGATTACAGGAACAAAATTATGTTTTTTTCCTAAACAGCACAATGTCTTTGAATTTGTTGCTTCTTCTCTGACTCCTGTCTTTGAAGAGACAGGGAGTCTGACAGTTAGTTGATGCCCCTAAACTGGAGACCCTGTGTATTTCTGCCTCTGTGTTTTGGCTCTGTTGTGGGAACTTCTGAATGTTTTGCAAACCAGTCCAGAGCCACTAGGTTTATTGCATAATCTGCTTAGTGAAAAACTTACCTATTGACAACTTCTCCAGCCTTCTTGTCTTTAAAGAGACTCCCTAAGAAACCTCTCAAGGGTTGTCATGAGACCTCACCTGGAGCGGGCACACTGAACTAAACACCCTATACTCTTTTGGAGGACTGGAGGGCACTTCCTTAACTGCATTGGCAGGGGAAGTGTATTTTTTGCCTGAAAAGTATGGAATTTGTCAAAATAAACGTCAACAGATATGGTTACCATGGCATATTGGAAGAAATATTGTGTGGAAGCTGACATTCCTTTTCTTGTGAGAAAAGCAATTTAAGAAGGAAGTGTTACGGTTTAGGCTGTCCCTTTTTAATTCGGTCAGAACCCCAGATCATGAGATAGCACCATTCACATTCAGATTGATACTTCACTACTTAAACACAAGGGGATCCCTTTAGGTGTCAAGAAGGGAACAAACCAGAAAATGTGGGAATAAAAATTCCCTTAATGTTAGCTTTGTCAACTGGGATCAAACTTCAAGGAATCTGATACCAGACAGTTTACTGCCTGCATATTTAAACACAATAAAATTCAGAAAAAGTTTTCTGGTGCAACACAGTCCTCAATGTTGTGTGATATTTTGTTTGTGTTTTGACAAATAAAGCTTGCCTGGAGATCAGAGGGTGGAGCTAGCCATTAGTTAACCATAGAAGCTTGGCTGTGGTGGTTCACACCTTTAACCAGCAATGGTAGCTCCTGTCTTCAATCCCAGCAACAGGGAGGTGGAGACAGAAAGTGAACGGGTTGGGTGGAGACAGAATCTCAGCCCTTTTGGATGCAGAAATGAAACAGGAAGGAAGCAACTGGCCCCTGCTCCCCTGACTCTCTGATCTTCCAAGTTTTTACCCCACTGTCTGACTCCTTTTTATCTATTAAGTGTTATCTAGACTAACACTTCACCCCAGTGCACAAGGAGATAATAATTATGCTGAAACTTAATTCAAAATATGTATCATTTCTTCCAAGATGACAGACCCCAGAGATAGACTACCTGTACTAACTTAAGGGCCTAAGGAAGGAAGTTTCTGGCATGGTCTCAGTAATAAAGATAGCATAGAGGTCATTTGACTATAAGCCACCTCTGGGCCTGGTTGTGGGAGCTTGGGGGCGCCTCTGGATATACAGATAATGTATGTGTAATTTAGACTATAAAGTATCTCCCATACAGTCTGTAGGAGCCTAGGGGAGTTCCTGGTTGTACAGATAGGTAATGTAAGAGTCATTTAGATTATTAACCACCTTCAATCCTGGTTGTAGAAGCCTGACCCAACAGATATTATAATCACCAGGCTTTCTGGAAAAACAGGTTATATTCCCTTTGAAAGGACGGCACTGGATGTTTAATCCTGGTTTCCCTAGAGATGTGTGGGTGCAAGTACCTTATGCTCCCAATACATAAGCCTAACTGGAAACACCCTCCTACACACACCCACAGGTGTGTGTCCATGGTCACTCCAAATTCAGCCAAGTTGACAGTGGATTAGCCATCAGAATCTCAGAAAGTTCTAACACCAGATCTGGAAGTTAGAAATGAGCACACAACACACAGGAGAATGAAGGCACTATAAGGTGTGTGAGCTTGAAGAAGGTAGTTGTGTAAAATGTGAGTGCTTGTGTGTGCACACTCACATTTTGTATATTACTAAGCTGGGAAGTTTTCCTGTACTCATGAAGATATCATTTCTGTCACTTGGCGATTTCCACTGAGAAATTCATGAGGACAATGCTGACAGGTTCAAATCTTTCCTGATATATGTAACACTGAACCAAATTCATTTCAAAGTAAGCCTCACAACATAATGGTTTGAAAAAAAAAAGACGTTTTTCATTATAGATAAAAAAGGGTATACCCACAAAAAATGATGATGTATAGCAGAGTTTTTTTTCTGCCTTTTATATGTTTATGAAATTACAAATGTTATACATGATAGGATAAAAATTCATGTAACTTACATATAAGTGAAATGTGAAATGGCCACAACCCTCCATCTCTTGCTGGAGACACTCTGCATTGACATTAAACGGCAGCCTCCCCTCTCAATGGACCTTTTGTCTTATCAGGTATCATTTTTCTATAAGAGACAGTTGTTTTTGTTATATATAAATTTAGACATATAACTGTGTTGGTGTTTGTAGTAGACCCTATTAACTTCTTCTTGGAGTTCCAACTTAGTCAAGAACATTCTTAATGCAGTGTATAATTACATAGTGAGGCTTTGTTTGTTGTCTTGAAACAGAGAGTAAAGGGATATAGGGGGCACGCATGTAGAAAGCAGATAAGCAAAATCATCTTAGGGATTTAATGTACAGGAAGTTGGGTACAAAGAGTTATTTACAGAGATAATAAAATAAGTAAAATTCTAAAAAAGGAAAATTAACTCTAGAGACTCCAGAGACCACTGTCACTTCTGGGAAGCTTCTAACATTCTGAGTATATAGAAACAACAGAGAAGTTATTTCATGAAAAGACAAGATCTGCCATAACTCAGGGGAAGCTGAAATCATAAGGAAAGGAGGCACGATTGTGGGACCCACAAATGTGAGCCTGTTTCACCTTGACCAGAAGTCAGAGAGTTTGAGTTTATTTTTGCTCTTTCAAAATTCTTGACAGCAAGTGTGTTATACATGCTGAACTAGGGTGTGTTTACTTAGTGTTTTGGACGTTAAGATGGCCCAGAGAGATGGATCTGCTCCACCCTGATCAAAGGTCAGAGGATTCAAATCTACTCCTGCTCCTTCATTCAAAATAGGAGGCTTGACATAGGGAGTGGCTGCCTACTTTGTCAAGAATGTGTTCACTGCATATCTAGCCCAAAACATCAAATGCTTTACTTAGGAAAGAGTGGATCGATGTCTCAAGTACTGAAGCAAGTAACTGTTCTGGTTGGCCTTTGTGTTGTATTAAAACAATCTTCTGCCTTCGCCTACCCTTTTGTATCAGGATATAAAAGTGTATAAAAAATGCGGGCAAATTCAGTATTCAGTATCCACTGAGTTGCCCTTCTGTCCGATCTGTGTCTCTGTATTTTTTTCATATCTCTGTTCCTCCTACCTAACGTTTTTAATCCACATGCCCCTACATTGAAACATACAAACCCATCCTGCCTGGACCATGACAGAAGTCACCCCCAAAATGTGACTTATGACATATGATCCCTGAACAGACCCAATTGTGCCAGAAACAATATTCAAGGTAGAAAAGGAAAGAAAAATAATACTTGAATTTTCTTGCAATTTATTTTAGGCAGAGTCAAAAGGCAGCTGAGAGAGGAGTGCAGGTAAGAAGTCTCCAGAGGCTGATCCCATAGGCTCTCCAGCAGTGAGGAAAGAGGGAAGAATGAACCTGAGGTAATTAGATCAATGAATGAGGCGAGCCTTGGCCTAGTCCCTGCATCATCCTGACTACAGGCTTCATCCTCCACTGCACAGAGAGCAGTCTCTGCTCTGGAGAAGCAGCTTAGGGTCTGAGCACTTGCTACTGTGGTTAACAACAGGATACAAGAGTGGATTCCAAAATAGAAACATTTGTTTTCTCTTGGTGCCACCACATCTTCAGGTCCTACCTCTTCAAATGAGGAGAAATGAACTTGCAGCGTGAGGCCCTGTTGCTCCCTCAACGCCGTCTTCGTCTTGAGAATGAGCTTCCAAGGAGTAGACAAAAGACCTCATCTGATATTGCTATCTTAAAAGTGTATTTCCAGTAATCTGAGAATTCATGTTAGTCATAGGAATCATAAAAAATAAAGAACATAATTTTGTAGAGTGTTGTCATAAGTGCCCTGTGTGAATTACAATGGCATACATACTTAAAAGAGCTTCTTACATTAAAGATTCTTTTTTAAAGTATTTTTCTAGCTGCTGTTATTAGAACCTATATGTAATTTGAGGTTCAGCTTGCTAAAATTTAGTAGCCACGTGGTGAAAAAAAGCCTCAAATTGGAAGGTGTCCGGGCCTCTGAAAATCTCTTTTGAAGACAGCAGCGTCATGTAAGCAAATGCCAAACTTGTGATGTGTGACGTGTAACTGTTCTGGACTTCGTTTCTTAACCACTACCCTTACCCTAAGTAATAGAACCAGAAAGGAGTGAAAGTTTAAAAACAAATGTCACACAGTCTAACACAGTGTTAAAAGTATCAGTCTTGTTTTCTCTGTAAATAAACTAGAGCTGAATTTGGGGAGCAAAGAGGAGTCCCCAGGACTCCTGGGTGACGTTCTCTCAGGAGGATGCTGTAGAGTGAAGTTAGAATGCTGTGTCTGGGTCCATAACAGTCATGGAGCTGCCGAGGCTGGAGCAAACAGGGAAAGGAAATAACTGAGTTGAAGATTTTGGCTGAATCCATCGAGAGGAGAGACGTTCTGATGAGAGGAGGACACCGAGGTGCGATGTGAGCTGTCGCATACACCAATATGTAGTCGGTCACAAACATCAACCTCGAGTTCAAAAATCAAAATATAAGAGTTAGCTATGAACAGCATAGGAAAAACTGACAGGATAGCTACAGGCCAAAGATGATCGTATGTGTAGCAACTTTAATTATGTCCACATAAATAAAATGATTTTAATTTTAATCTAAAAACTTGGGTTGTAACATCAATTTTATTTTCATGGAAATTGTTTACAGATTAAATACTAATACCATGAAATA